TTATGGCATGACCATCCCCCATGGGGCTACTTTTTCATTTTGCTTCTCTCTTTGTCTCTCTGTGATGAGTGTATGTACCCTCTGGCAAATTAGAAAGGAAGGAAGGAAGGAAGGAGAAAGAACAAAAAGGAAGAAAGAAAGACTTCTCTAAACCCTTACAATCTGTGTCCTCTCCTTTTATCAGAGAAAGATTTTTGCTATAGTGAACCTGTCCTCACAAGAGATACTGAGAGCTAAAGGTGAGAAATCACCCCTTGGGGGAATGACCATGCTGCAGTTGCTTCTGCTCCATTCTCCTCTTGGGATTTTGGGCACACTCCCACATGTGTCCTGTGTGAGTTTCAAGCTGCCCGGTCTGGGATTTGAACCATAGTCAGCCATGTGGGAGTCCATCTGCTGTTCCCCATATGTGTCTTCTTTTAAGAAAAGATACCAGATATGTAGCCCTGAGTAAATTTGCAGGTCTGAACCTAGGGAAGGCAGCAACTCCATTGATTGAGCACCTGCAGTGTCAATTGCATGGCACACATTGTCGTATTTACCTCTATGAACCACCGATGAGGTAGGCATTATTCTTTCCCATTGTACAGATAAGGATGTTTGGATCTCAGAAAAGGTAGTAAATTGCCAATAATAAATGAATGGAAGAGGCAGGAATCAAATTTTGGTCTTCTAAGTTTGTGAAATTTCTACTGGGTCATACTGCACTGGAATAATTCTTCCAGTCACAACTCAAAGCAATCCTTGGTACTGGACCTCCTGAAATAAGAGGCCTTTGTAAATGCCAGAAGCCTCCATTCACTTTGTTAGGTCTTTCCTATATTTATAAATTCAAACATTTGAGCATTTGCTTAATAAATATTAATTGGAGACTTAGACATTGCAATATTGCTGGGGAGAGAAGATCAAGGAGTCAGAAGAGGAAAGAGAGAACAATATATGAGACTCAGGATCTCTTTTAAAGAATTCATATTGGCACTGGACTCTCACATTACCAGCTATGGTTTGAGTCCCCGACACAGCAACTTGAAAATCAAGTATGTGCATGTGCGTGTGTGCCCAAAATCCAAGGAGGAGAATAGAGGAGAGGGGGTTACAACATGGTCATCTTCCCTGGGGGGGCAATTTTTCACTTTCCCTCTCACTGTCTCTCTCTGTTTCTTTCTGGTGAGTGCATGCGCTCTGTGGCAAAACTTTAAAATAATTAAAATAAAGAACTTAATATTAAGAAGGTTAAGTCTACACATAAACTATAAATAGCGCAGAGAAATACAGGTTAAGATAAACTTTGGAAATGGTTTTCACAAACAAGTAGGTTGTCGATGGATAGATATGTAAGAGAAACAACCTTCATGATTTGGAGAGACATATGCTCTAAAACCAATATAAAACCTCTCTTTTCAGATTAACCAAGCTGGAAGAGCATTGAGCACTGTTATTACCAGGGTCCCATGGTTAATTAGACAAGATTGTGGATTGACATGGGTATAATGAATTCTTTTTTGTTTTTGTTTTTGTTTTTTTAGAGTGATTTTTGCTATAGGGCATGTGCACTTTCCAGGGAGATAGAGAGAGAGACAGAGAGAGAGAGAGACAGAAAGCAGAAATCAACCCCCAGAGGGGATGTGGCCATGTCACAATCCCTTCTCCTCCATCCCTATCTCGGGATCTTGGGCACACACACACATGCACCCAGTGTGAGTTTTAACCAGCTAGGTCTAGGACATGAACTGCTGTCAAACATGTTTGAGTCCAGCAATGTAACCATTACACCATCTGCTGGTCCCAGGTATAATTCTTGAGCCCTCAATAAGATTCCTTCTACCTAGCCTCTGTCTTCCTTATAGCAAATAAATACAACAAAAAGGAAGGAAAGAAAGAGGGAACATCTCAAAACATTTTGCTTTGCTTTGTTTTGTTTTAAGTACACATTAGTAACTAAGCTGCTCAGCTTGAAAGGATGCTGGAAGGACCATGAGGGGAAGTAGAGATAAGAAAATGAAGCCTTTGAATTTCAGATTGTGGAGCTCAGATTTTCTATAGTAGGCAGCACAGAAATCCTTGAATCTTCAAGTGTTTGGGGAATTGTCATTTTTACATAACCTGCTTTCTAATTAGAGGAGACATAGTAGAACTGGATAGTAGTTTTGTTTTTTTTTTCCCAATTATAGAAATAAACCTTATAAATCTTATTCATGGAAGATGTTAAGGGTTATTGCTTGTTTTATTTTTAACCTCCTTCTGGAGCTATTATGTAATCCATCTATTGTTTCTTTTTTAATTATAACAGCACGGTTAAGGGAGTTCATGTCAACCTAAATCCTGAGAGAGTCAACAAAATTGCCATCTGCCAATTTATGACTTGTTTAAACAAAAATTTACATATTCTACTGTCCCTCAGACTAGAATTCACTTCCTTCCCCAATTTTGAAAGGAAACATTCTCTCCTGATGCTTCCTTTGATATGTAAGGTCAAAGAGTTAATTGTTCTTCCCTTCTTAAGAGAAAGCTGATCTTAGGCTTTTGATATCTCTCTGCAGCCTAGCCATCTTCCAAGTCGGATTTTAATAGTATTTTGACCCATAACCTTTTGTTTCAAAATTGGTTTTTGCAGAAAGTCAGAAGTAGAGGAGTATCTATATTAAATATTGATTTTTTTTTTTTTTTAGAAAAGATCTCTCTTTCTTCTGCCCTTTGTCCCTTCTTCTCCCCAGAAGTTGAAAGAAGGTATTAGTAAAAGGGTTAATAGCTGCTTAAAAAATCTGTTGTAAATTTTCTCTTTTCATTTAGGTTTATTTACTTTTCTCTACTGCAATATACTGATATAGATTTGGTAACAGTTCATCTCAAATAATTCTATGTGTTGAACAACTGACATTTCTACTTTCCAGGTCATTTTAAACCATCTCATGTGTACACTAAAAAGTATTTTAATAAAATTATATTGACCTCTAATTTTGAGCTTGAAATATTCTATCAGGTAAGAGTCCAATTTAAATAATTTTTTTTTTTTTTTTAATGAGCAAGAGAATGAGAGAAAGATGGGAAGAGAGAAGGTAATTTTGACAGGGTCTCTCTGTGTCGCTGTCCTCCTGCCCCAACCTCTGAGCCAGCCAGGATCACGGGTGCATACTACTGAGCCTGGACTGGTTAGGTTTATCCAGGAACTGAAACTGGGCCTCACATGTGGCTCCAACCTAGTACAGCATCGTCCTACCATTTGTGCTGTGCTAATGCTAGCCCTAAAATACAATTGAAAATATGTTTATCTTATTTCAAATTTTTCTTTCTTTGGAGAAATTTTTGCTGTAGGGCATGTGTGAGACAGAGAGAGACACAGGGAGACAGAAAGCAAGAAATCATCACGCTAGGGAAGACTGTCACTCCACAATCCCTTCTCCTCCATTCTCCTCGGGATTTTGGGTACAAACACATGCATGCTCCTGCTGTAAGTTTTAACCTACCAGGTCTGGGATTCAAACTATGGTCATCCATGTGAGAGTCCAGTGATGTAACCATTATGCCATCTGCTGGTCCCCTTATTTCAAAATTTTAAGGATGCGTTTTCTTTGTATGATTTTCATAATAATTCTAATACTATCTACTTATTACAGAAAGTCCACTCTTGCCAGATACTGCTTTGCAGGAAATATAATAGAAGCCCTCTGAGATCAGAGTGACTACTATGGGCTAAATTGTATATCCCTGATATACACATTTAAACCCTACCCACAAATGGGACAGTATTTGGAGATTAATTTTTTTATTAATTAGTTATTAGAGAGTTTTTTTTTTTTTTTGTAAGACATATGCTCTCACCAGAGAGACAGAGAGATAGAAACCAAGAAATTGCCACGCAGGGGAAATGGCCATGCTGCAATCCCTTCTCCTCTGTTCTCTTCGGATTTTGGGCATGCACACATGTGCACCCAGCGTGAGCTTAAGCAACCATGTCCAGAATTTGAACCACAATTGACTACATGGGAGTCCAGCGATGTAACCATTATGCCATCCGCTGGTCCCTGGAGATTAATTTTCTAATTGGGGTAAATAGGTAGTAAGGGTGGGGTCCTAATCCAATAAAATTGATGGCCTTGTAAGAAGAGAGAGAGAGCAATCTTTGCCTATACACTGTGGGAAGGCCATGTGGGGATGTGTCAAGAAGTCACTGCCTACAAGCTGGGAAGAGAGCCCTCACCAGAACCCCACTGAGCAAGTGTGCTTATCTCAGACTTTCAGCCTCCTGAATTATGAGAATATAAATGTCTACTGTGTAGGCACAAAGTCCATGGTATGTTGCAGGCAGCCCAAGGTGACTGACAGTTACTGTCCTCATTTAGTGGATTAGAAACAGAGGTCAGAGGCAAAACTGGCATTTGAACCCTAGTTTGTGACTATGAAATCTCACTCTCTAGATTTCCCTCTGAATTATAATCCAGAAAAATGACTATACATAGTATTTTCAAAATATCAAACCCTTCAGCTGTTAGTTGTTTGTATTTCTATTTTATAGGTTTAGCAAACACATAGAAAACTAGTGTTCTCATTCCTAGTGCTTATCCGATTTTCTGTTCTAGCAGGATATTATTATTTGAGCCCAGAATTCCAGGTTAATGTTGAAAAATGTAACCAACCTTCCTGAAATTGCAATGTTGAAAAAATCCAAGAAGATTTGGTATTACTGTATTTGCTTTTTGTAAAACACACTCAATATAAAATATCCAGTGTTGTGCCTGAAACTAATTGGCAGTGTCCCATTAAACCATATTAAAATTAACATCGATTAATTGGATTAAAAATTCAGTGAGAATGACAGCTGCTAGTGCCTTTTACAGTTACTTTGTTTCTCCATAATCCATATGGCAGAAATCACATAATGCTTTTTTTTCCCCCATTGAAATAAACAATTAAGATAAAAAGGTTTGACTTGATGTGGTTAGGGTATGTGCTTTGCTTTTCTTGGTAAAATCTGAACTGCCTCTTTTCTTCCCTGTTTGCAGGTTCTCACCAGCCATATTTGTATATCTGATTAGCATCGTTCCATCATTGTGGCTTCTTGAAATGCATCATGAGACCCAGGTACTTCCATTTGGAAAGTAGGAAAGACTTATTCAGCAATAAGTGACTCACAGTATGATCTGACTTATTTCAGAAATGAACTTTTATAAAGGACTGAGCTTATCAAGAATCGAATAAATTAAGAGGTCATCAGCAAAGGAAGTGAATCTACGATCTGTCAAAAAGCCAATAAAATATTACATTAATTTAAGATTTGAGGTCACATATTTAATTAACATTTTATGTTAGAAATCTTGTTCTTCCTACCCCCCGCCCCCCTTCTACCCTACAACATGCTAGAATTGATGGTGGTGTGGAAATTTAGTTTTAAAGCTCGCAGCTTCAATGAGTTACGGTGCCCTGCTGAGTAGTCAGGTCCCTGGGGCAAGCAGGTAGCATGATGGTTAAGGTGTGAGGTTCCAGCAGGGCAACTCCATGGCTCAAGTTCCAGAACTGGGAGCTTGAAAAATCACTCCAGGTGTGAATGCATATGTGCCCAAAATCCTGAGAGGAGATTGGAGAAGAGATTGTGGCATGGCTATTCCCTCTGGAGAGTGTTCTCACACTTTCCCTTTCTCTGTCTCTGGCAAATGCATGTACCCTATAGCAAAAAACCTAAAAAAACAAACACAAACAAAAACAAGCAAAAAAAACATTAGTCTGGCCCAATAATAGGGCCTCCTATAAATTTATCTTTTTAGAAATGACAGAAATAAAAACAAGCTCTGCATCTGTACTGTCCTACATAAATTCAGTCAAACTCATGAAGGCTATTTAAAATAGTCTATCCTAAAATACAGGCCATGCAAATTATGGGACATTCACTTTTGATGGTCCCTTGGGCTATCTTAGTGAAATAGGAATTCTATTCTATAGCCCTGAAACTAGAAAGGAAAGGAGCTGTGAGACTCATGGTAGAGAAAGTTGGGTTAATATGTATTATACCACACTAACCTAGAAAATTAGCAGTGGCTTCCAATAATCCTAATATATGTGTAGAGATTTTTAATGGAACTGCTTTTTATACAGGCAATTCTAATACCAGGCTGTAGGCTAGGTTCTATTATTTACTGTTGATAATATCCAGTACATATGTGGGGAGGCCAGTAAGTAGACTCATTCAGACTCCAGCATGGACTTCGTGATCATATTACAGAACGATGGGATCGATGAACTGTATTTACTTTGATACCTTCACTGACAAAATGCTTCAGGCAAGATCTGAGAGAATTTGTTTTTTTGTTGTTTTGTTTTTCTTTTGGTAGAGAGATTTTCTGTAGGGTGTGTGCACTCACCACAGAGAAGAGAGGAACAGAGAGATAGAAAGCGAGAAATCACTTCCCAGAGGGGATGGCCACACTTGGGATTTTGGGCATGCATGTACACATGCCTGGTCTGAGTTTTAAGCCTCTGAGATGGTCCTAGAACTGCAGTCGACTATGTGGGAGTCCACAGTCGACTACGTGGGAGTCCAGCGACGTAACTATTACGCCATCTGCTGATCCCAAGATCTGAGAGAATTTGTCTGTATACACATTTCTTTGGTACAGTTGATCATTTTATAGCAAGGTTAAGCCTCCGATAGATATATAACCTCATGTGGCAAAAGCTTGTGTTAAATTTTAGGCACACAGAGGAACACAGCTCTGTAGACTATTTTTGAAAATTGCATGACACTTACCAATGACACAGACACCAAGAAAGCATTTTTCCTGCTTGCTTCTTCTGCTAAAAAACATTAAAGTCACAGGCTATCTGTATGTCTGCAGCAGAAGTATTTTTGTAACTTGCAGATCAGTTGGCTCAAGTTATCATGGCTTTTTAAAAATTGTACCATAAGGACTTAGAGGACTGTTTCAATCTCTTTACTACTTACTACTTTCAGGGATATGGAAATAAGCTCTGGTGATTTGAATCAATTTTTTTGCTTCACATCCAATTCTATGACATGGCTATCATCCACAATAACAATTCATTTCCCCAAATGCTTTTATAATATAAATGCGTTGCACAGTTAATTGATATACAGGTCAAATCCCATTACAACAAATAGCATGCAACCAAAAGCTCTCTTTTTAATAAAAAAAGATTTTTGAGCCCCGGGCAGTACCTCTCTAATTTTCATACTACAAAAGAAATTGAACCTTTAGTAGTAATGGATTTGACTCGTTTTGACACTGAGAATTAAAATGAATGCCCAGAGATTGAATTGGGTAGGGTGAGCAGAGATGGCAGCAGAAAAAAAGAGAGAGGGACCAAAATTATTGGAATTGCATTTAAAGAAATAAGAAGTGACAAAATAAAGGAAGGTATAACAATTGTTACAGATCCCAATTGTTCCAGGGTTCAAGAAAGTAGTCCTAATGATCAATCCATTAATTTTATAGCTTTCCACAATAACTCAGAGCACCACATCCTAATAGATCTGTAGAAAAACAACTTATGGATTGTTAACACTCTTCTCATATTAATTGAAAATTGGTTTCCCCTCTGGTCTCTTTGTCTACTCATTGGGGAAATATTGGTTGTGATATCAATTACTTTTTTTCATGTGAGCTCCTGTATTTTAGAATATCTTCATATGTATTTTCTCATGTATGCACTCAGCAACTGTAAGTTTGACCCTGTACATACTTCTGATTTGTGGGAGCCCTAAGGCTCAGAAAGATTAAATGATTTTTTTCCTAAAACCACCTGCTCATTAACAGCAGTGCTGGGGATTAGAACCCAATGCTTGCCCAGTTCATCGAACCACACCGCGAGGGGCCAGTGAATGGCATGGTGGTTGGGGTGCTGGATTCCCACATGGCTGGCCATGGTTCAAGTCTCGGACTTGATAGCTTGCTCAATTTTCCTCTCTCTCTCTGTCTTTCTCTGGTGAGTGCACATGTCCTATAGCAAATTTAAAAATAATAATAATAAAGTAATTATATATTTTTTAAAAACCACACTGCCTTTCATAGCTCTGTTTTGTTTTAGAGAAGTTTGCATCAAAATCACCTGACTTCTTTATGATAGAAAAGAGTAACTTAATTTCCTCTGTCATTTTCCATTTACTCTATATCCTAAATGTTCTAACTTCTGACTTGGCATTGGAAGAACATCCTGACCTATTTCATGAAGACATTTCTCTGAGGTAACCAATTTGGTAACTTCATTCCTGGGTCTACATGCATTGGAGAAAAAATAGTTATGACAGTGATTGTGATGTTAACTTTATGTTTATTTATGAAGTAACACAATGAAAATAGTGGAAATAATCTGGTCTTGATGGTGTCACATTCTGGTTTGGCCCAAAGGAATATTTTTCATTTTACATTTTTTTTTGAGAGTTTTTTTGGTATAGGTTATGTGTACTTCCTAGAGAGACAGAAAGCAAAAAGTCACCACCACCACCACCACCCTGGGGGTGGGAGGTGAGGGTAGGGGGCTTGGCCATGCCACAGTCCCTTTTCCTCCATTCTCCTCTTGGGATTTTGGGCACAAATGCACACATGCCTGGTGTGAGTTTTTAAGTCGCCAGGTCTGGAACTCAAACCATACTCAACCATGTGGGAGTCCAGCAATGTAACCATTACACCAACTTCTGGCCCCCCCAAAGAAATATTTTTGAAGAGTTTTAAAAACATAACCTATGAAAAAGTGACACATTGGTCAGAGATCATCTACATGAAGTCACCTATATAGTGTTAAATGTGAACAGTATAACTATAAAAACAACACAAGTCAGGTTAGGTTTCAGGAGTCAAATCACTCTCCTAACAACTACATTAGTTCTTTACAATCCTAATGTAGTAGTCACTTAAGGAAAATCAATCTTTACTACACATCAGCCTATCACAAATAGAATAACAAGAGTGGACAGGAACCTAGATGCCCCCCCTTTTTTTTTCCTTTGCAAAATTTATTTCTTCCATCACAGAGAAAAATGGGGGGGGAGAGGCGTCCCCAGCAAGATTCCTATGCCACAAACTATCCCCAGCCACAGCCCGTAAGTTTCATAGATATGCACTTGCCCTGTGTGTATATATAGGGAGACCTGGGGATGCAAACCAGGGACCTTCCCACCTGGCCTCAACTTGGTGCTGGTTCTCCACTGTCCTTTATGGTTGGTATCATATATGTCTTTACATCATAATGTGGACTACAAAGCTGTTTGTTTCCAAGTTATCTTATAGTGCACTGGGGAATGACTTAATTTTTCAGTAATAAGATGTTTACAAATTTTTAAAGATAAGAATGTCAAAAACATATCAAGGTCACTACTTTTAATATGCAGTCTGCTTTTATGTCTGCAAACAAAATGGTCAAAATTGTTTGCTTGTGACCCTTAAGTCTGTAGATAGAGTCACAAAACTGCTCTGCAATAAGGATTTGTCTCATGGTTCAAAGATTTAATTTTTTATCTTCATTATCTTTTCTTGGAGCCTTAGCTGCATACACATACAAAAAAAAAGTGTGCAAACAGCTGTTTTTTTGCTTCTAGAGATATGGCACATGGCCATTTTTCTTAATTATTCTTGTCATTTCACCCATAACACTAGTTATTTGGATGGAGAGTAGAAAAAAAATAGCTCTTGGCAGGCTTTCTTTTCTCCTTTCTCAAGTAGTTTATAGAATGATCGATGAAGTATCCAGAATAATTAAGAAAAATACACTTCTTACAGCCTTATCAATTCTTTAAAAAAATAAAAAAATAATTTCTCTCTAAATATAAATGTGTGATCGTGGCTATGTGGTGTTGGTAGTGGTGATGGTGTGTGTGTGTGTGTGTGTGTGTGTGTGTGTGTTTCAAAAATATGTTAGCACTGCAGATGTTTAAAAAAGACTTCTACTTCTAAAAATCAGTTTGTAGAATAGACATTGACTCCAGTTCATTTTCCATGCTTCTTGTTTCTCTTCTTATATATTTTTACCTTCTTTTACTCTACCTCAGCATCCCAACATCTGGCTGGATAAAAATCATGCACAGTTTATTTGCAGAAATTCACATACAAAATGAAGGATAAGAAAGAGAAAACATCATTTATTTTAGATCTGTTGTCAAATTTTTCATAAACCTGAATTGACTTAACTGACACTAACATGTGTATTTTGATGGGTGAACATGATAATTTTTGGCAGTGATAGTGCCTGACAGGCAAGATTGAAGGTAATTGAATTATTTACTTAAGCAAAATGGTATTTTAGATAAAGAGGCTTCTGCAAAAGAAAGAAACTCTCAAAAGGAATGTTTTGACCAGAATCATCCATGTTTAATTGTCATCGTGGGTTGTTGGTTTGTTTTACAATTGTTCTAGGCTTCATGAAAGCAGCCCTGATTACCAATCCATAAATTCTGTTCTCCACAATGACTCAAAGTATCTCCTAGACCTATTGAAAAATAGAACATATAGTTGACAATCTTCTCGTATTAATTGAACATTGGTGTGCTATCGTAAGCCTGTATGCTGAGTTTGGGAAATTTTTATGCATATTGAATAAAATTTGTAAATCTTTTCATCATCTCTTGGGTAGATTAAAGCCCTTTTGAACTCTACCTTATTGTGACATTTTCTGGCATATTGCTCCTTCCTCCTACTGCTTAGTATTGCAGTATCCAGTCTGAAGGGATGTCACAGAATTCCAGCAGAAAAGAAGACTTCAATCAAACAGTGAAGTCCAATGAACGAACCAATGGAGCAGATGATCTCATTGAAACGGTGAGAGTTTTTCTCAGAATATAGTAAAACATCCACCTAAAAGTGGATTGGTGAGGATAACATGCAATATGCCTCTCGGCTCAACCCTTTTCTGAAAAAATCTGCTAGTTGTTTACTTGTTTGACATAGGAATCCCTAAAATAATGACCTTCTTATGTATTATTAGAGTTATTTAATATATATAGCAAGCTTATATATTATATATATATTACATATATATAAATAGATACAGGTAACCTGCAACATTAAGGAATATTTATTTGTATCTGTAATATATTTATATACTTACATACTTTTTATATTAATGTATATTTTACATGTATATATTTTAAATAATTTGTAAGCAACTTTAGGTTCTCCACAATATACTCTCCTTCCCTGACACATGCATGTGCAGCCTCCCCCCGACCAAAACCCTGCACCAGAGGTAACATTGTTAAAACTGACAAAGTGGGCCAGTAAGTGGTGCAGAAGTTAAGGTGGCTAGTTCCGATGTGGTTACGGCTAGGTTAGAGTCCTAGACCCAGAGGCTTAAGAAACACACTGGGCACATTGTGCATGCGGGCCCAAAATCCCTAGAGGAGAATGGCATGGTCATCCTCCCAGGGATTAATTTTTCCATTTCCATCTCTCTCTAGATCTGTCTTCTCTCCTGCAGATGCAGGCACTCTACAACAAAAACTAAAACACTGACAAAGCTACACAGATACGTCATTATCACCCGGAGTCCATCATTTACATCAGGGTTCATTCTTACTGTTGTACCTTCTGTAGGTTTTGACAAATGTATAACGAATACATACACCACTGTAGTAGAGTATTTTTGCTACCCCAAACATCGGGCCTTAACTATTCATCCCTCCTCCTCCCCACAACTCTTGGTAACAGCTGATCTTTCTACTGTCTTTGTAGTTTTTCACCTTTTCCAGAAGGTCATGCAGGTGGAATCATACAGTGTAGAGCATTTTTAGGTCGACTTCTTTCTCTTAGCAATATGATTTAGGATTCCTCCATGTCTTTTCATGGCTTTATAGCTCATTTTTTTATAGCTCAGAATAATATTCCATTGTCTAAATGTACCATGGCTTACTGAGCCATTCACCTCCTGTTGGATACTTTGGTTGCTTCCAAGCTTCCCAGTTGTGAAAATTAGGACTAAAACTGCTTTAAGCAACTGCATGTCATTTTTCTGTACCTATACAGATTATGTGTGTGTGTGTGTGTGTGTGTGTGTGTGTGTGTGTGTATCTCTTCAAAAAGTTCATGGAAAATGACTATTATGGAAAACTATGCCTGTATATAAAATTATTTAAAAAATAATTAACTTACACTTTTATTTTATTTTTTAACAATCTTTTTGAAGTTCCCTTCATAAGTTTTCAACTCTCTTTACATAAATACCAAGAAACACGATTACTGGATCATACAGTAGGACCATTTGCAGCTTGGTAAGCTGTCAAACTATCTTCCATAGTAATTGTACATGCTTGCCTTCCTGCCAGCACTGAATGAGAGTTGCTATTGCTCCACAGCCTCACCAGCATTTGGTGCTGTCAGTGTCCTGGATTTCGCCACTCTGATAGGTTTGTAGTGGTCTCTCGTTATTTTAATTTGAATTTCCCTGATGACATATACTGTGGAGCATCTTTTCATATGCTTGTTTGCCAACCATACATCTTCTTTGATGAGATGTCTGCTAAAGTCTTTAGCTCACTTTTTATTTAATTGTTTTTTTTTTTTAATCAGTGTTGACTTTAAGGATTATTTGTGCATTTTGGGTAACAGTACTTTATCAGATGTGGGCTTTTTTATTAGCAAACATTATCAGTTTGTTGTGTGTCTTTTCACTCTCCTGAAATTGTCTTTTATGGAGCAGAAATTTGAAAGTTTAATGAATTCCAGTTTATTAAATCTTTCTTTCATGGACTTGCCTTTTGCCTTTGGTGTTTTATCAAAACAATCATTGGTGTATTCAAGTTCATGTAGGTTTTCTCTTACATTTTCTTGTATGAGTCTTATAGTTTGGGATTTTTTTAAAGAATTATTTATTTGTTTATTTTACTTTAATTTGACCAGAGAGAGACACATGCAGAGAGAGAGAGAGAGAGAGAGAGAAGAAAGTGAGAAAGCAACCTGCAAGCCACCAGATCTCAGACTTGAACTGTGGTTGACCTAGTGGGATTATTCAGTGCCTTAACCACCATGCCACCTGCTGCTCCCTTATCGTTTTGTATTTAGTTTAGGACATTGATCTATTTTGAGTTAACTTTTTAAAAAATTTAATAACTTTAAGTTTATTTGTGTATCTTTATTTTTTCATTAATACGTAATAACTTTATGTATTTATAGGGTACTTTTGTGAAGGTTATTAAGTTTGCCTCTGGACTCATTGTTTATTATTTGGATGTCCAGTTGTTCCAGCATCAGTTATAGAAAACAATATATTTCCTTCACTGTATCATCTTTACTTCTTTGTCAAGAATCGGTAATGGGTTTATGTGGGTCTATTGCTGGGCTCTGCATTCTGTTCCATTAGTCTACCTGTCTGTTCTCTCGCCAATACCATATTGTTTTGACTAGCACAGCTTATACTAAGTCTCGATATCAGTTAATGCTAGTCCTCCGACTTTCTTCTTCTTTATGATTATGTTGGCTGTTTGGAGTGTTTAGCCTCTCCGTGTAATCTTTAGCATCTGTTTGTCAAAGTAACAAAGGAATTTGGTGGTATTTTATTGGAATTACATTGAATATATAGGTCAGTTGGGGAAAAATGACATCAATATCGAGTCTTCCTTTTTATGAGCATGGACTGTTTCTCCACTTATTTCATTCTTGTCTGATTTCATTCATCAGAGATTCATAGTTTTCTTCACATATATCTTGTACATATTTTGTAAGATTTATACCCAGCTCTTTCATTTTGGGGGGCACTAATGTAAACTATATTTTGTTTTTAATTTCAAATTTCACTTGTTTTTGGTAGTGTATAGAAAAGAGATTGACTGTTGTATATCAAAATTTCATCCTGCAACCTTGCTATGCATGCTTATTAGTTCCAGGAGTTTGTTTTTGTTTTATGATACTTTGGATTTTCGACATAGAGAATTATGTCATTTGTGAACAAAGAATACTTTATTTCTTCCTTTCCAGTCAGTATACCTTTATTTACTTTTCATACCTTATTACCTTAGCAAAAATGTCTATGTATCTTTTTTTGTTTATTAGCAAAATAGAGGAGGTTTCTAACCTAAATGCTTGTTTGCCAACCATACATCTTCTTTGATGAGATGTCTGCTAAAGTCTTTAGCTCACTTTTTATTTAATTGTTTTTTTTTTTTAATCAGTGTTGACTTTAAGGATTATTTGTGCATTTTGGGTAACAGTACTTTATCAGATGTGGGCTTTTTTATTAGCAAACATTATCAGTTTGTTGTGTGTCTTTTCACTCTCCTGAAATTGTCTTTTATGGAGCAGAAATTTGAAAGTTTAATGAATTCCAGTTTATTAAATCTTTCTTTCATGGACTTGCCTTTTGCCTTTGGTGTTTTATCAAAACAATCATTGGTGTATTCAAGTTCATGTAGGTTTTCTCTTACATTTTCTTGTATGAGTCTTATAGTTTGGGATTTTTTTAAAGAATTATTTATTTGTTTATTTTACTTTAATTTGACCAGAGAGAGACACATGCAGAGAGAGAGAGAGAGAGAGAGAGAGAAGAAAGTGAGAAAGCAACCTGCAAGCCACCAGATCTCAGACTTGAACTGTGGTTGACCTAGTGGGATTATTCAGTGCCTTAACCACCATGCCACCTGCTGCTCCCTTATCGTTTTGTATTTAGTTTAGGACATTGATCTATTTTGAGTTAACTTTTTAAAAAATTTAATAACTTTAAGTTTATTTGTGTATCTTTATTTTTTCATTAATACGTAATAACTTTATGTATTTATAGGGTACTTTTGTGAAGGTTATTAAGTTTGCCTCTGGACTCATTGTTTATTATTTGGATGTCCAGTTGTTCCAGCATCAGTTATAGAAAACAATATATTTCCTTCACTGTATCATCTTTACTTCTTTGTCAAGAATCGGTAATGGGTTTATGTGGGTCTATTGCTGGGCTCTGCATTCTGTTCCATTAGTCTACCTGTCTGTTCTCTCGCCAATACCATATTGTTTTGACTAGCACAGCTTATACTAAGTCTCGATATCAGTTAATGCTAGTCCTCCGACTTTCTTCTTCTTTATGATTATGTTGGCTGTTTGGAGTGTTTAGCCTCTCCGTGTAATCTTTAGCATCTGTTTGTCAAAGTAACAAAGGAATTTGGTGGTATTTTATTGGAATTACATTGAATATATAGGTCAGTTGGGGAAAAATGACATCAATATCGAGTCTTCCTTTTTATGAGCATGGACTGTTTCTCCACTTATTTCATTCTTGTCTGATTTCATTCATCAGAGATTCATAGTTTTCTTCACATATATCTTGTACATATTTTGTAAGATTTATACCCAGCTCTTTCATTTTGGGGGGCACTAATGTAAACTATATTTTGTTTTTAATTTCAAATTTCACTTGTTTTTGGTAGTGTATAGAAAAGAGATTGACTGTTGTATATCAAAATTTCATCCTGCAACCTTGCTATGCATGCTTATTAGTTCCAGGAGTTTGTTTTTGTTTTATGATACTTTGGATTTTCGACATAGAGAATTATGTCATTTGTGAACAAAGAATACTTTATTTCTTCCTTTCCAGTCAGTATACCTTTATTTACTTTTCATACCTTATTACCTTAGCAAAAATGTCTATGTATCTTTTTTTGTTTATTAGCAAAATAGAGGAGGTTTCTAACCTAAATAGAATAATTTCCTTTTCTTTGCATGTCTGATATTTGGCAAACATCATGACCTATTTACTTCTTTTTTTGTTTTTGTTTTTTAAAAAGAATTATTTTATTTTGGGACCAGTAGTTGGCGTAATGGCTATGTTGCTGGACTCCCACGTAGTCGACCGCAGTTCGAGTTTCCGACCCAGGGCCTTACACTCATGCCGGGTGCGTGTGCGTGCATGCTCAAGTTCCCGAGAGAATGGAGGAGAAGGGATTGTGGCATGGCTATCCCCCCTGGGGTGGTGATCTCTCGCTTTCTCTATTTCTGTCTCTCTGTCTTTATAGTGAACGCACATGCCCTATAGCAAAAACCTCTCTCAAAAAAAAGAATTATTTCATTTTTATTTATGTTAATTTGACCAGAGAGGGACAGAGTGAGAAAGTGAGAGAGGGAGAGAGAGAGAGAGAAAGAAAGTGAGAAAGCAAACCACCAGGTCTATGACTTGACTGTAGTTAGTTAGCCGTGTGGGAATTAAGCACCCTTAACCACCACACCACCTGCCAGCCCCATCATCACGACCTATTTAAAAACAGTGTATAGGAGAGACTGAAAGCCGTGGCTTCTATCACTGAAACATGTTTCCATCAGTAAGATAGGCTATTCATTCTGTGAAGTTAATAGAATGAACCTTGGAGTCTAACTTAAAATTCAATCACAAATTATCTTCATCACTTTGAACAAATCTCTTAGTCTCTCCATGTAAGTTTTTCATATGACAATTAAAGCTATTAATATTTACCCTGCTAGTGTGCTTCCTGTGTGAATGAAATAATATGTCTGTGAAGTTTTATAGAATAAATATAAAGAAATGCACAAGGGCTGGCATGGTATCCTGGTAGTCACAGAAGCTGGAGACCAGAGGAGCAACTATAACTAGAGTCCCAGCCCTGGTGTCTTGAAAAACATAGGGGGCACGTGTGTGTGCATGCCCCAAACCTTGACAGGATGAAAAATGGAGAAGGGATTGTGGCATGACTACACCCCATTGGAGAGGTGCTTTTTCTTTCTCTGTCTTTCTGTCTCCTCTCGTGAGTGTACACACCCTCTGGCAATTTAAAAAAGAAAGAAAGAAAGAAGTATACAGATGAACAACGATTTATTTTTATGCATGACCGCGGTCAGGTTGGTATCCTGCCTTGTTATTTAGCCTCCCTTTACTTGTGCATTTGATATTTACAGGTGATCAGGAGGGGTAGATATATTTTGCACAATTGTAGTTAAATGGAATTAATATTTAATCCACTCAAAATCTAAGTGCACATAGTTTTTTTTGTTTTGTTTTGTTTTGTTTTTGTTTTTGTTTTTGTTTTTGCCATGAAGCGCATTTGCTCACCAGCATGAGACAGAGAGAGGGAAAATGAGAAATCACCTCTCAAGGGGATGGGCATGCCATAATCCCTTCTTCATTCTCCTGGGATTTGGGGCATGCACACGCATGTGATTTTCAAGGACAGGACACAAACTATGGTCGACCATGGGGGAGTACAATACATTAACCATTGTGGCAATTTTTGGCTCCACATGTAGTCTTTAAAAGATTATAACTTACAGGGTCCATAATATGAAGGATCTTCAAAAAGTTCATAGAAAGTACATATTGTGAAAAAACTATGCGTGGATATCAACATTTATTATACCAAAATAAACTAATACTTTAATTCTATTTTTCCATAAACTTTCTGAAGTCCCCTCATGTACGCTGAAACTTATTTAGAAGGTAAATGGCAAGAAAAGTCATCTAGAATACATGAGTAAGAAAATTTTTTTCAAAATTTAAGAATAATGACCAAACGAAATGTGCTTGCTCGTTTGTAGATTATTGAATGAAATGTTAAACATTAAAAATAAAAATAATAACTTTATGTTTCTTTCTTGACATATAATTAATGGATACATATTATCATATAGTTTTTCTGGCTAAGTATAATAGAATTTTAAGGCAGTTAAAAAAAAGGGGCAAGATTTCTACCATGTTATAAATATTTCGAGATTAGTAAATTCAGATTTAAAATCTACAAAAGAAAAAAATCCAGGATTTTTGTGGTTTTAACATGAAATTTATGAAATTTACTGTGTGTCATACTTCGTTGCAGAGCATTATAAAATGAGAAATGATCTTGAAGACATTGTAAAATTTCTTTTTGAATATCATTTGATACAAGCCCACTAGCAAGTATGAGGTATAAGTTACTTATGGGACCAGCAGATGGTATAATAGTTACATTGCTGGATTCCCACATGACCAACTGTAGTTAAAGTCCCAGACCCAGTGGCTTGCAACTCACACCAGGCATGTGTAAGTGCCTGCCCAACAACACCCCAAGAGAATGGAGGAGAAGCGTTTGAGGCACGGGGTGATTTCTCACTTTCTGTCTCTCTCTCAAGTGAGTGAACACTCCCTATAAAAATCTCTCTTAAAAAAAAAAAATCACTTGTTATGTTAGTGCTATCTTAAGGACCACATTAGATTATTTCTTTTTTCAGAGTGTTCAGCTGAAGGAGTTTTACTTTCTTTAGTAAGTGAAAAATAACTCCTGAAAATGTCTCCAAAAGCCAATTCTTGATTGAAAACCACAGTGATGAAGGCATTTCTTTTCAAGATGGTAACTGATAATTCTCTGTCTGTATGACATTTCTGTTAAACAGGCCAAAGATTTTGTAAATAACTTATCTACAGTATGTGAAAAAGTTTGGACTCTGGGACTTCATCAGACATTCCTGTTAATGCTAATAATCGGAAGATGGCTTCTTCCCATTGGCGGTGGCATCACTCGAGATCAGCTCTCTCAACTTCTCCTTATGTTTGTGGGGACAGCTGCTGACATCTTGGAATTCACAAGTGAGACACTGGAAGAACAAAATGTGAGGTAAGCAGGTCTTGCAATGAGAAGACCTTTTGAAGGTCAGGACCACATGCCTACCTCTGTTCTGCTATTTGTATTCTGTGTGAATAAAGACGTTAAGTATTACAAATGTCCACTATTAAAATTGTAATTTGCTGGCAGATGAGATATATATTTGGAACTACCACAGTCTTTATGTTTAAAAAAAAATGTATACGCAAGGTTTCCCGAGAGGAAGGGACACATAATGTGTCCTGTGGGTGAGAGCAGTAAAGCTCTGTGTGTGCATGACCACGGGTCGGGGGACCCTGGTCATCTGGAAAACTTCTGGCAGCAGGATGACCAGCTCTAGCTCTTCTTTCTGCTTCCCAAGAGTCAGGAGAACAACCAGTCACAAAATTCTCTTGTAGAACACAACACAGCTACCATTCTAAGAGAGCGAATAGGAGAGATGTGGTGAAATGTCTCCCCCATCCAGTTGGGGAATTTACATTCCCTGGTGTGAATAGAGAATGGGGCAAATGAGGTTTTTATTTTACTAAATTTTATTTTCAGTCAGTTTTCCTCGAAGTGCCCAAGGCTTTTTGGTGTAGATGCCTATAAATTAAAACTTATTGAGTTGGTACTTTTATTTTTGCCACAAGCAAATAAACTCAGAATCCATGATCACATCTGTTTATGGAACTACTTTCTTACCATTAGGGATTTAAGTCTCAGTGCCTGAATTACTTTAAGCTTGGGTTGTTTTGCACTGTGCTATAAAAATAAATTGGAATGAGGCTGGCTTTTAATGCTGCAGTTTACTTTATGCTGTGTTCCTCAAACAACAAAACATAAAGCTGAGCAAAAGACACTAACATACTGAGTAAACTTAATATCCCACTGATAGCATGAATTATATTTATAACCATAGCTTACCTTTATAAGATCATTTCTGTTTCGTTTATATGCATTTTTCTTATAGCTTATTAAGTTGACATATTCTTTTAAAAAGAATTCAACCTAAATTGATTCATTATCCTCAGAGCATTGATTTTAGTTTTGTGGTTTTGATGTCTTACATTTGATCAGTGCTTTACGTTGTATAATGTATTTTAAAATATTTCAGGATAATTATAATACAATGAAGTCACAAGGAAAACATGAAGAAATTATGACAGCATATAAGAAAAATAATTTTCTAGAATAACAGGGAGATGACACTATAAAGATAACTAGCTACCACTATATAGAAATGAATACATATGTGCTGAGTATCTAGGGACATGGTAAAGAACATAGGGTAGTGAAAGAGGTGTTGCAAAGGGATTTTGGGGGTCAATCATGAAAATGTGAGAAATAACAAATTTAGCTATCTTAATAGACTATTTATTAGTCCCATACAGAAGTGACACCAAGGGGCAATTTAGGGATCTGTGTTTGTTAATAAATGTTAGATGTTCATTGAATAAAGTTATGATTGCCTAACAAAACAAACCAAAAAAACCTCTTGAACACCATAAGGCATTTTTAAATTTTGTGTATTTTTTTGTATGAGAGAGAGAGAGAGAAAGAGAGACACAGAGACAGAGAGAGTGAGAGAAATACACAGACCCCATCCACAGAGTGCTCGGCCATGATCATGGTCATGCATGCATGAGCCTGCTTGTATAGGGAGACCTTGAACCTTGAACCCAGGACCTTTCCATGTGGCCTCAGCATGGCAGAGCATTACAACACTGCCCCTGGACTGGCTTCACAAGGCATTCTTTCATTCATCAACGATGGATTGGTTATGTTTTGAGTCGTCAGGAAAGTCATGATAAATTTTTCTGTGTAAAAATGCATCATGACTTTCCCAACAATTCAGTAAAATGCACCAGACACTGTATTAGGTAGATTGGAGACCAGATGCTGAGCTAGTGATTAAAAAAACAAACAAACCAGTGTACACAGTCTTGGTCCAGTGAAGACTATTTGAATTCAGCAAGAACCTAGGGAACACTTGATGTTTTAAGTCACTTTAAATATCTCTGGTTTCTTCTGCCATTCACAGATTAATCTGAAGGATTCATGAACGTATATATATATTTTTTTTAATTTAAAACTTGTATTATATTCCAAGAAAGCTGACATTTAATGGGACCAAATAAACTATGTTAGGGCTTATATGGTTTATGTTTTTAAAATTTGTTTTCAGTTTTCATGGTGTGAAATTGAAGCCATTTTTAATATTACTACAGTGGCGTCAGCGGCTTTCTGTAATCTCTACACCACTCCCATGTGCCTCTATTACTCAAATACCAGCCTTCCACCTTCATGGCACCCCCATCTCCCCACTCCAACCCCATTTTTATTTTGAATATTACTGAAGTACTTCGGTGGCTTTCTGTAACCTCCATGCCACTCCTGTGTGCCTCCATTACTCAAATACCATCATCCCCACCCCAAACCAGCAAGTTAGGGCCTAGGAAGTTTCTAGAGTTTTCATCTTGAAATTCGTTTTTTTCTCTATAGTGATATTCTTTGTCTGAAAGTTTATTTTGTTTTATATAAGCACTCTAGTTGTCCTGCTATTGGCATGTGATGAATTTTCAATTCTTTTGTTTTCAAGTTATTTGTATCTTTGTATCCAAACAATATATCTTATAGCCAGTCTGTAGTTGGATCTTACATATCTTTTTCTGAGTCGGAAAATTTTATCTTTGGCTTTGTGTGTATACTAATTCCCCAGGATAACTATAACTACCACAGACAAGGATGCTTAAAACAACAGAAATTTCTTTTTTTACAGTTCTGGAGGCTAGAAATCCAAAATCAAGGTGTTGGCTTCCAATGAGGGCTCTGAGGAGGCATGCTCTCTATGCCTTTCTCCTAGCTTCTGGGGACTGCTTGTAATCCTTGGTTTCCTTGGGATATAGATGTGTCACCCCAATTTCTGTCTCTTTCTTCACATGGCATTCTGTGTCTCCAAATTTCTCTCTTCATAAGAGGACATTGAATCTTTGGTTAGAGCCCAACTCACTATAATCTAGTATGTCTTCATCTTAACTCAGTTATATCTGCGAAGAGCTTATAAATAAAGTCACATTCTGAAGTTCAGGTAAACATGAGGTTTTAGAGGGCATTATTCAATATCATGTGTAGTCCATTAATACTTAATATAATAACAAAGGCAGCCTTGTTTATATTTGCTATTTGGTTGTTTGTTTTTCTCTTTGTTTCATGTTCTATGTTTACTCCTTCATTGATTTTCCCCCCTCCCTTTTTTAGTCATACAAAGATTTTTCAGTCCACAATTTTAATTTCTCTGTAGCTTTTGAATGATTTTATTAGTGGTTGCAATAGGAATTACAATATGTATTTTAAATCTTCATAGCTCTGTCACTCCATTTGTTCCAGTGGTCATAGCTCCATTTCTTCTCCCTCTTTTTTCCTATTATTGTTGTGTGTATGTCTTTGATGTCATTAGCCAACAATACACTTTCATGACTATTGTTCTGTATACACTTTTCAGAGAAAAGGAAATATTATATAACTGCCTAGTATGTTTAGATCCTTTTTATTTGTTCATGTGCTTACCATTTTCATTTCTTCTTGTGGATTTAAGTTACTCTCTTGTATAATCTTCTTTCAGCATGAAAACCATCATTTAGTATTTCTTCCAAGGCAAATCTACCAGCAGTAAACTCTTACAAGTCTTTCTACATCTGACAGTGTTTCCTTTCAGGTTTAAACAATAACTTTACTGCATATAGAATTCCTGGTTGACAGCTTTTGTTTCATTTTGTTTTGTTTTTCAGCATTTTATATCTCTCACTCTAGTTCCTTCTGGCCTTCATTGTATTTGATAAGATGTCAGCCACTACTTATTTGGTTGTTATCCTGTATATGATAAGTCAATTTTCTTTTGATGATTTCAAGATTTCCATTTCTCTTTCTTCTTCAGTAGCACAAGTGTGCTATGTGTAGATTTTATTTTTAGTTTATTTTAGTTTTTGCCATGGGGTGGTGTGCATTTTCCAGAGAGAGAAAAAAACAGAGAGAGAGTGGGGGAAAAAAAGGAATCACCCTCTGAGGGGATGACCACACTACAATCCCTTCTGCTCCAGTCTCCCCCCAGACATTTGAGGCATGCGTGTGCAAACACCTGGAGTTATTTTCAAGACACTGAATCTGGGACTCGAACTGCACAGCCAGCCATGTGAGATCCAGTGTGTTAACCTCCACACCACCTGCTGACCCTGTTTTTAATATTACTAGGTCTTATTAAGATTGGATCCTGGAAGGAGCAGCAGATGGCATAGCCGTTACATCACTGGACTCGTACATGCCAACCTCTGTTCGAGTCCCAAACCTAATGGCTTGAAAGTCAAGCACTGTGTGTGTGCATGCATGCCCAAGATCCCAGGAAGAGAATGGAAAAGAAGGGATTGTGGTGTGGCCATCCTCCCTGGGGGGTGATTTCTCACTTTCTCTCTCACTGTCTCTGTTTCTCTCTGTGAGCACATGTGCCCTAAGACAAAAACCTCTAAAAAAAAAAAAATGACTCTTTGATGGGTAAATTATGTTTTTCCTCAAAGTTTTAAGCCATTATTTCTTTGTTCTCTCTCTCTCCTGCTCTACTGTACTATCTCCTTCCCCTTTTTCTCTTGGTTTTGTCTTCCTCCTTCTGGGAATTTTATTAAAAATATGTTTGTTCCACCAGGTACGTGTGCATGTGGGCCCAAGATCCCAGGACAAGAGTAGAGGAGAAGGGATGACAGTGTGGCCAACCCCTCTTGGAGGGCGGCTTCTCACTTTCCCTTTCACTGTCTCCCTTTGACAAGCACATACACCTTATGGCAAAAACTTCTTAAAACAAATAAATAAATAGTGTGCATTCAACCATGTTTTATAGATCCATGAGACTTTCTTAATTTTTCTTTAATATTTTTTATCCTCTGTTCTTCAGATTAGATCATTTCCATACATCTATCTTCCAAGTCACTAATTTTTTTTTTCTTCTGCTGTCTCAAATCTCGATGCTGAGTCAAATTAGGGTT